GTCAGGACTGTGCGGGACCATTTGGTTTTACTTTCCGGTGTATCTAGGCTCCTGTCCTGTCATCAGAGATGTGCCAGAGCCAGATCCCGAGAACAAAATACTGTGCGAGGCTCTGGAATGGGAAGGAATGGGTGTCCCGCTGGTCAGGGTGTTTCAAAGTAGATGGGACAAAGCACTAGAAGAGGTTTTGCAGGAGCAAGGGTGCATCCGTTTCAGGTTTAATAGATGGAATGGGACTCGGTAATTAGGATTTTATGATTCGAGTGCTAGCATCTATATATCATGTGGACCGGTACATCAAATAGATAGACAGCAAGGAAGAAAGCCAGAAAGGCAGGGCAACAGCCTGAAGACTCTATCAGCTACAATGCTGCAAAATGCATTTTAATTTAAAACATATCCGTCGATTATTACAGGCAGGAGAACTTCCTGTGTATTTTTCTCAGAACAAAATCTACATGCCGTTTGCTTAGTTTTTCTGTCTCTGAAACCTGACCTATTGCTGAGCTTACTGCAGCGGGAGCACAGCACAGCATGCTAATCTGTGCCTCCAACCATAAGCCATTTTAACACCCTCAGCAAACAGAAGCTGTGTCCCTTTCCCGGATACAGCTTTCCCAAATTTTGTTCCTGAACACAGCCAGCTGCGCAATTCAATGCATTAAGGGAGACAAAGGCAGACAAGGTTCCTTGGGTGAATTTGATATCTTTTATTAGACCAACCCAAATAGTTGGAGAATAGTTATTAAGCAAGCTTTCGGGTTCAAAAACCCTTCAGGGAGACAAGAAATTTGGGGACAGGAAAATGATTGTGTCAACTGAAAAGTCCCATTTAAGCTGATTTTACCACTTGAAGGATAGGAATAGCAAAGAGGACACACCTAAGCAGCCTTCTCTCTACAGGAAATGTTATAACAAGAGTCATCAGCATTATTGCACACAAAATCTAATGTAATGGTGTGGATAATTTTCTCATAAATCATTTCTTTCAGGTCTATGGAGACCATAAAGGCTAGGGGGCATGGAGGAAGATAAAAAAGAAAATAGTAACAGGCATAAAGAAGTACTGTTTTCATATGGGAATGCTGAGGGACATCCGCTCGGTTATGCAACTGTAAACCTGGAGTAACACTTTGAAATCAATG